TTTTTCCGATTTTTTGGCCATAGAAAAATGTTGAATTGCATCCAAAACCGAAATTCACCACAAAATATAAAGCTGAATAACTCATCAGCCATTTATGCACAAATTCTAAAAATGCATGCACAAATTCGCACAAATTATGCACAAAAAAATGGTATAGGTTTCAATAAGATACTCGAAAGTGACTTGCTGGAGAGTGTAAGCCGTGAATGATAAATAACACGGCAACCAACGCTCATTCACTGTATAAGTTTTCAAACGATTCCAAGATTGCAGCAAACATCTAACATCAATTTACATCGATGTGTGTGTGGGTGTTAATTTGTGTTTTTTTTGTTATTTAATCCAAAAATGAAAATTTATTCTTAATTGTCTATGTCCATTAATATATTTTTAAAATGTTTACGGTTTTTGTTGTTCATATTATTTTTGAATGAGGCAGGGTCAGTAATTCATAAATATTATATAATATTTTCATAGTTAGTGTTTTTTATATTCATTTTAAATATCTTCTTCAACCTAATTTATACCTGGCGTTCATAAGATCAGGGACTTTTGCTTATGTGAATAATAACATATTATATACAATTTTCATATTTCAATCAATCGATCAATGAGATCGGGTTCAATGCAACAACAGCGGTCACGCTCTCAGCGTATTGTTTAACATTGTCGCAATTTAACATCAGTTGAGAAATTGGCACATTTTTCACCCGTTGTCAATAGCGCACCATACATGCATCTCTCTTCGTTTTTCGTGCCACAATTTAGCGTCGAATTCGACATATCTGAAAATCAATTTGAATCTCAATGAAAAAATTGTGCTTTTCTTTTGTTGTTTCAACAAGGTTGCGCAGTTATTTTGAAGCCAAAGCACTAATTTGATTGTGTTAATATTGTGGTGAATTTTGTTGTTGTTCAAAGAAAAAACGTGAAATCTAAAGCTGTTTTGTGTTTTGCGGGTGGGAGGTTAAATCAAAGGAAATCATTATTTGAAATATTTCATTTTTATCGCAATGGGTTTTTATTCGGCCACCCGATTTTGTTGAAAAATATTTGCTCCTAACTAAGGAGGACTAACTTTGTTTCTCAGTACTCCTCGGGCTCCTTAAGGCGCTCCTCCTCAAATTCATTACTTTGAAAAACAGTCTCTGAACAGAAGTGACCTTTTGTTGGAATAAAATCGTATATTTTCGTGTAACCTTAATCATTTTCCGAGAATCACAAAACTGTTGATCATAAACGTCAATATAAAGTTGCAATTTGAATGGGACAAAAAGAAAATGTGACACAATATTCTTCTCTTCTTTTTTTGATGTGAATGAACGTCTCTCTCATTGTGAGATTGAGTGAAAATAACCTTTTCATTGTGAGGTCATTTATATTTGCATAGAAGATCATCATATTCATGAATTCCAATGGATAAAATAAAAAAAATTAAATGGCAAAACGAAATGATTTGAAATCTATATATCGTATATATAGATCACATCATCAACATCAGGTGAAAAGCGGTGAGCAATGCACGATAACCAGCCATGAATCGTTTCTAAGAAAATTGGATTTCAGCTTATACAAACAGTATGCAAATGCTTTCGCCACTTTTGTCTACTGTGTGTGCGAGTGCGTTTTGAATATCCATCAAACATCACCATATACAAAGAAACAAGTATTCGAGTACGCGTAAAAATAGAGTAAAATAGAGTGCGTAACTCATTTTGAGGGGTAAAGTGTCTACTAACACCGTAAGTGCGAGTAAGCGTACTCGAATACTTGTTTCTGTGTATGTATTGAAAGGATACCCATTGATGTTGTATAGCAATAAAAATGTTGCCATATTGTGGTTGTGAGAAATTCAATTGCAAATTTTGATGTGCGTTCAATTCTTCCACACGAACGAATTTGAACGCTTATTTCTTGACATCGATATGGCCAAATCGTTATTGAGACATTAAAATGATATTATTCAAAATCGTCTCACGCTAAAATTCATCTACATTCGAATACATTATCTTTATTGGCTTCCGTTCAGTCTGGATTCAAGCGCATTTTTATTGTCTCACAGCTTCCCAATCTGATTCGAGTTACCAAAAAACGGGGGAATTCACACTACCGTGTATTGTTTGAAAATATGTTGGCTTTGTTGATGACATATATCTGTGTGTGATCATCTTATATATGTTTTTTCATAAATTTAAACATCAATTTTTCATCAAATGTTACCATTTAGTTTTGTCAACTTTTCAAATTCTTTCAGTTTAATTTTTTCCATTCTACAATTAAATCCGTAATGTCAAGTCATAAAAATTACAATGTGTCTCCAAAAAATGTGTATCCCTAAATATAATCAATTTTTTTTTGTTTGATTTAATAAGTTAAAAGGTTGTTACTATCAATTCCATTAAAACATTGATCAAGTCCAAACATGGTTGGTTCCTATTCTTTATCGATTAGAATTATGATTGTGTTGTTGCTCTTAATGTTTAATATTGATAGGATAGGATTCATGTTCTCAGCGTTGAGAGCATTAATTTAGATTCGCAATATTGTATATCTCCATCGAACGTTTACATCATTTTTCATTATTGTTGTTTTTATTTTCTATTCTTGCTTTAAATCATAAATATATATTTTTTTGTTTGATTTCATTTATGGTTACTTAAAATCATGCTTCATCTATTGGGCATTTCTTACAACATAAAAAGATGAAAACTAGGCTATTTGTTTCAGTAAAATATCTGAATCTGTGATTGCATAAATTGGTATGTGTTCGCTTGAAATTTGACTTAGGATCGACCGGAAAACAGCTGGTACTGCAGATGAGCGCGCATAACACAGAGAAAGTGTTGCGGGAGCATATGTGTTTTATTTTATTTTTTATTATTTATTTGATTTTTGTGTTTTGTTTTCAAGCACAGACACACAGATTTAGTGTATGATTATAAATACGGAAAACACGGGAACGCAGTACATGAAATTGGAAAAGAGAGAGAAAAAATGTTGTGTTTGTTTCAAATGGTGTTGACGAGTGAATCTGTTTTCAAAAAAGGTTTTTTTTTGTTTGGATTTGGTTTGTTTTTTGAACACACGTTATGTGCAAATATTGCAAATGCGCACAAAAACCAAAAAAACATATATATATTTATGCTAAATGATTAGTATGTTACTATTGACTATTTAGATTAGATTTGCATATTCCCCCATGGAATCAACGACGACTTTTCTAAGCATACGTTATTTCTAACCATAAGAAATAAAACCGAATTAAAAAAAACCATAATAACAAAACGGGAAAATTAATGAAAATCCCCCATCACAACAGCACACAGAAATTCTTAACGAAAATAAAGAGAAGCCAAACACTCAATATATGCGTATACTTAGTGCTTTTTTGTTTTCATTTTATTTGAAATTCAAGCAATCTCTTCTCAATGTAAATGTTTGCGAAAATAAAGCAGATCCAATAATTTATGTCCGCCTGTCGTAATATATCATTTTATATGGTTGTCTCAAATTTGAAATAGAAATGTTTCCGCCGATAAATCTACGGAAGCGTTTTTCAAGCGGAGGCTTGGTGTGTAAGCATGTGTGTATGTGTAAGTATCAAACTTTTATTGCCCTCCATATATCTATATTACAATGTTAAAAAGCAATTTGCGGTAAAAGCGGTAAAACTACACTAGTGAATTTTCAAGTATTATATACTACATTTAAATTAGGATGTTGCTTTTCATTAAGCATTTCTGCATTTTGTAACGGAGGATTTTCGGGTTCTCTATGATTTTGATCAACATTTATATATACGATTTAAAATTGTTTTTTTTTTTGCTCTTCTCCTAAATAGTCGAAACAGTGTTTTTGGTTGTGTGTGTGTGTCAAAAAGTTCAGTGTCATCGTTTAGGGGGAGAAAAGCCCGTAACCATATACATACATGAAAGCATAGTCCTCAACAGTTCTGGATGTACGATTGACGTTTAAATAAAATGTTGAAAAATGAGAGAAGTTTTGCCAACCACATAATGTTTATAACATATAATCGTTGTAGAGAGAGCGTGATGCACATATATTTGCACATATAGCTGCCATGATCTGGTCATTTAGTCACTGTGACATTCATGTTTACATACAGAGACGCGATACTCTCACATCATCGTTTATTCTCTACGTGCGCACGCAGTTAGAACAAAGGCAACAAGATGAACAACGACAAAGTCACTGTTTGTGTTTATAGTATGATGTGTCGAGTGAGACCATTATTCCGAATGTGAACCAATACATACACATGCATGCTTAGCATGTCGTTTGTTTACTTTTTCATTGGTTTGTCATTAATGCGTCGCATAAAATAAGTAAATGTATTCAGGGCTGTATAATAGTTATTATCCAATTCCTTTCAGGACAAAATTTTTAAAATGAGTTGTATCTATTTATTTTGTCACTGTTGAAATAAAATATATTTAATTTTTTTGAATTGCTGGAACGTTGAGAATAAATTAAATAAAAATTGTAATACAAACGGTCTGTTTTTCTCGCTTTTCCGGTTTGAAAAACTACCAATCGATTTTTCTCGCTTTTCCGATGGAAATATCGAAAAAATAAAAAAGTGTGAGTTCAGTTGAGGTTTTTGAAACACGAATGGGGTATGACATCCAAAACAAAATGACAACTCGGGAGTTTTTTTGATGATATGAGCTGGAAGTGAATCTAGAGGAGCAGGTGGACCCAATCTGGTCCAAAGTTTTCCATATATTCAAAACGTTGCAGAAACTCTCTCCTTCTTACTTTGAGTTCATACTGACGCAATGAAGCAAAGTTCCGAATTTACAAATGTATATTAAGTTTATATTCACAGTACAGTAGATTGCCAAATGTCGACACACGACCAAATGTCGGAATACCGAGAGGTGAATTGAAATTAAAAATTGAAAATTCATTTGAATTGCATTTTTAAAAGTAAATTATGAAAGATCAATATCAAATCTCTTTATTATAATCCAAATTTTAATCAAAAATCTATTATTGCTTTCACAAATTACGTTCAAAAAAAATTCGGCATTTTTATCACTTTTTCACGTCAAAAGTTAAACTATGTCATTTTGAGACAAGCCGGTAAAATGCGTTTTTTTATATGAAAAAATAACTAGTTTGGAAAAAAATTTATATCGGCGAATTGTAGATAGTTTAATTTAATTATTGAACAGAAATTTTGAAAATATAAAGAAAAACAATTATATTTATTTTTCATTTTTCACTGTAATATTATTCCGGAATAAATCGTCCAATTGCCGACACATAAAGCACCGAAGTTTCAAGTGAAACACTTTGGATTTGACAGATGTGACAGTTAAAGTCGTATTTGGATCATTGTGAAATTCAAACCAAAAATATTCTAGATCAGTGAAATAACGTAATATTTTTAAATATTTTTGCCACTTTACTATAGAAAAATAAGTAAAATAAAATATGGAGCAAAAATATATCAATCTAATAATTTTAACTCCAATATTTTGTATTGTTTACCTCAATGTAAATAGTGCGTTCATGGGCTGTCAAAACTTAAAGTTTACAAGTTTCGTAGTGAAAATGCATGAAATATGTCGAGATTAGGGAGCCGAGAATTGGACGACGAATATCCGACATTTGGAATTTTCGATGTTATGACGAAAAAATGGAAAAAAATAATACATTTTTGGAAATTACTATCTTTTGAGAAACGTGAAATGAAGCACAATTAAATTCTGCATCGAATTGTGTGATATTTTTTCATGAAATCAAAAATGTTAAATATTAAATTGAAGTTGAAAATTCAAACAAATAGTCCGACATTTGGGCGAGTGTCCATACACAGAAAATATATCTACCAACTATTTTCGTCACAAAATTGATATAAGAAATTTTGTGTTTCAAATTTTGGTTTCGTCACTCGATAGAGGTTTTTTATTTGATATCAATAGTTTTTTAAGCGCTATTTTCAATGTTAAAGATTCAAGAAACATGAATTTGAATCTTTTTCAAATACAATGAAAATATGGACTTTTAGGTTATTTTTGGACATTTGGAGTCCGGCCACGGCCAACATGGCGGCCATATCGAAAAGTGCCAGAACAAAAAAGTCTTAGTTTTTTGTGTACTTTAATCACAGAAAGTTTCAAAAAGATCAGAATCGAGTACGCAAATTGGCCACAGACAGACATTTTGATTTTTCATAGAGATTCAACCGAATACATTTACTTATTTTATGCGACGCATTAATGACAAACCAATGAAAAAGTAAACAAGCGGCATGCTAAACATGCGTGCGTATGTATTGGTTCACATTCGGTATAAAGTTCTCACTCGAAACACGTATTGCCTATGATTGCGAAATTTCTACTGCGTAATATTATGTTTAAGCATGAATGCAATACACATAAGCCCACATTTGGAATTTCGCAGTCGCATGTGGCTTGTTTACATTTTTATTTGTTTATCATAACATGCTTCTTAATAGCATTGTAGAGTGAGTAGGATGACTACATTGGATTAGAAGGAATGTTGCCAACCAATTGTCAATCGTACATCCAGAACTGTTGGGGAGTGTACATATAATTCAATACGGCCATAGTGCCTCTATACAGTGTCATACATTGAAAGAAAAGCGTACAGAGTAAGATGGTCATGGAATGTGTGTGTTGAATTGCAAGAAACGTAAGTGAAAAATCGAAATGGAAATGTGCGCGCGCGATATATCCGATTGATGTCGTTTGATTTTAAACCGCAGTAATCGGACCTCTTTTTCACCATGTATCTTCCTCTTCCTCTCTTTCGCCGTACTCTATATAGATATCAAAACCGAATCAGTGGTTGGTTCTTTGATTGGATTACGAAAAAAAAAAATGAAATAAAACAGAGATTCTTTTTCGCTCCAGCGGCGAATCTTATACATTTTCAATAATATCAAAATAATCCTCACACAATTTTTTCAGTGTTGTACAAAAACAGAAGAGTGAGAAAGAGAGAAAAATAAACCGTTTACCTAACAAGCATATTCTCACTAAAGACAGAAAATATATATATATATATATACGGAATATTATTACAATTATAATAGAACATGGAAAAAGAAAAAAACATAATGGTACCATCTCTATATATGCTTATAAATGGAAAAATACACAGGCAGATATTATAAGAAATTTGATGTAAAATACGAAGGAATTGTTTTTGTTTTAAATAATTCCCATTTGGTTAGGTTCATATAGTATATTGTACGTATTTCTTTTTTTACAATCAACAATATTTCTTTTTATTGATATTTTAAATAAAGCAAACCATTAGCGCTGGTTTTTTTCTTCCTTTTTACATCATCCCCTGCTTCTTTAAATATCTTTCTCTCGGCCAATGCTTTTAAGGATTACTTTGTATAACTTTGCATTTAAATTTAAAATACCAATAAACGTGAAACAAAAATCGATATTCGTTCAGGCCACATATTTATATATGGACCATTAAAATTTAGCCTGGCCATTCAACATTTTCAAATGATGATTCAATAGCCTAAAAACATACAAATTGATCTTTTCCTTTCTATTTGTTTGCTTTGTTTGTTAAAACAAAAAAAAGTTTTACCGTGGAATGGGCGATGACGCTCGCATCAATAATATATGTATTATACGTAATTTACGCATTGTGCATTCCTAATATAATATATTTTTTTAAGATTTAGAACGGAAAATCTAGCTCTATGTACTACAACTACTACTAAGTATGTTCATTGTATTCAAGATATATATATATAAAAAAACAAATGATAATAATAAAAGAACAAAAACAA